CTACCTTAAATAGACTCCTCGTTAGACTAATACCATGCTCAGTAATTTGATAGCTCCATCTTGTACATGGCAGTAAAAAATTTTACCAGGTTAACGAAATAGTAGTGCATCCGAATTAGAAGAACAGCGAATGGATCCATTGGGGTAGGAATGGGGAGAGGGAGACAAGAAGGCACAGGCAATGATATTAGTGACCAAGTGGTTTCACATTAGTTTATGGAGTCAGTGAGATATCCGCTTTCTCTTCAGGAGCATGCTTTACTTTGTAAATCTTTGGTTTTCAAATTTTATGATTGAGCTCATTCCTACAATATTCATAGCTCATGGTGTGTGTGACTTGCCATGTAACTTCAACTTATTTGTACTTTGTTATAGCTTAGAGCAAATAGACTGAACTGGCCACAATTTTTTCCAACGTAATAATTAAATGAACAATTATTGTTCAGGGGTTTATACTTTAAATATATCCTAACTGAACGGCGCTCTGCATAAAAGAGCAATTTTTCATTTGCGATATCCGATATTAGTTTTAACTGATCGCAAAATTGGACACGTTTGCTAGTTTTCAAGAGGTAATGCATCTTTTTCTTTATTTGGTGGTAAAATCCGAATGTATGCACAAACATGCAAGTTCGACTTCAAATGAAATGCTAAAAATCTGTGCGCAGTTATTGGTTCACATTTTCAAGGTTATACATGCACGTACCTGAAATCTGCATTCGATAATTAATTTTATCCACAAGGACTTCGTGTTTTTCAATTTGATCACTTAACGAGCGATGATATTCTGAACTTAACTAGGAAATTAACAGTCCATTCTGACTTTAAGCAGTAGTTCATTCGCATCAATTGAATTCGTGCATTTAAAACTACAGTTAGATACACAAAAATTGAGCATCTGGTTGCATTCATTTGTGCCTTCATTTTAGAATCATTGCTATTCAAGAAAAGAATGGTAAATCCGGAAGGCCCATACAGAATTCAATTGCAATGACCACGTCATATGTGTGGTAGAAAGCTAATAAAAATGAAAATTAACTTTCTTATTTAGTCGATTTAGAGATACTCGACGTTAGGACCTACAAGGAAGTGTTATACAGTACTGTGGAAACTGGGTGATAAGCTCCACCAACTCTAGTAACATGACATAGGAAGTATGTGAAGGCTATGGCAGATTATATTATACTGGAAGGAAATGAAGAGAAAGTATCGAGCCCCCTTACTGGTAATTGAATATAGAGATAAGTAAGAGGCCAAAGCTTAGTGTGAAATAAGCAGGAAAAGGTATCTATAACCAGCTAAAATGCCAAAAATGTGGCAAATTCCGGGAGGAGTGAAGGCAGTGTAACGATAAACTCTTGTGAAGGTTCTTTAATAGACGATGCTCAGCAATGATGAAATTGAATTGCAAAGACTTCCGAGGGTGTTATGATCTTTGGGAAAACGAAAAAATCCCTCATTTCTTATTGGCCAATGTGCTTGATCTGTAAGTCAAGTTAAAAGGATTGTTTACTCATGTTTCCTCCAAAATGTCGTGTTCAGAAACTGTCCTCTTATTATTTTCAGTCAATTCAACTTTCCTTGCGTTTAAAATTAATTGAATAATGACATTAATTTAAAAGATTGGCCAGTCACTGCGGATGCACTTTATTTGTTTTGTATTCAAGACGCTAAGAAGTTGATAGGACTGAACATGAGTGTAAGGCAGCTGAAATCATTGAAATAAGTAAGTCTAAAATTTGACGAAATGGAATATGCAATGGCGGGATCTAATATAATTGCCAACGAATTGGAAGATTTTGAAATGAGGATTTTTTAGATTCATTCAGGTTAGGATTGGGGTTTTAAAGTGGGAATATACTTTATGTTCATTTCGAATGACAATGAGGAAGAAACCTTTTACATAGGCTACGCATTATAAACGATGAGTGCGATTCTAAAGCAAGTGGAGTTTGAATTTGAAAGGAGCAAAAAATCGCACCTTGTAGAATTCGTAGATGTTTAAGCATTTAAGAGTTATCGGTGTAAAGTAAGGTTGGAAAATCGGTTGTTAGAGTTGAAAACAATATGATGCATCATTACAGAAGTACACGCTGTGATCAATGCAAAGATTGTCAAGAACTCACATGCAAAACTCAAGGACACGAGTCGTACTGAAGTACCAAGTGATTTAAGAAGATGTAAAAAATAAAATCTGGAATTCCAAGGAAAATCTCATTATGTGTGTGTTTCCCTCAAGTAACATTTTAAAAGTAGAGTGATTCCGATTTACTTAGTTGGAATTAGTTAATACCTTCGAGCATAGGAATACTGTAATCCATTTAGATATTTGACTATTAAAATAAAAAATAGGATTTAAAGTTACTTCAGATGACCTCTATTAGTTAAATCCACTTAACTTATTTTTATGTTAGTAGGCAGTAGATTGAACTGGCTTCCGTTATCTTATAGACTAATGAAATGCAATGAAATAAACAGACAGACAGAATAAGTCTGAATAGCGCACAGTTTTGATGCTATATTCATATAAATTATTTCATGAATGACATTTAGCTGATTGTGGGAATCTTCTTTGCCAAACCTGTAGTGCATTCTTTAAAGCAGGAAATAACAGAATTTAGTGCGTTAGTGGTAATAATAGAAATGCCAGAATTAAAACCGGACTAGCTGTAATAACTAAATACAAGAAAAGCCTTATTGGTGAAGATAACTTTTGAGATCGGATTCCAAATTTAAAACGAAATTCAACGGACTGATCAAAATAGTTAGAGAAGAATAACCAAAAATAGGGCAAAATCGAAAATCACTAAATATGCGTTAAATTAATTTATCTTATGGATGGCCAAAATGTTTTAAAAAATTTCACTATTCTAGTGATTCTAAAAGTTCTTATTTTCGCCAATTAATTACCATATGCTACTAAAGTTATTAAGCAAATAACATAAATTGTTTAGGATAAAAGATGTTGACGAAATCAAAAAAAAGAATTTTGGAGCATAGTTTAAAATAGAAATGAAGTTTTATCAGTATCAAGATTTCAAATGTTACACTTTACTGGTGACTACTTAATCTTATCGAACAATAGGCAGAAAAATATCGCCAGATTTATCGGAGATATTTGTTTTGACCAGTGATATATGTACTTGTGAAGTTGATCGCTTATCGAATTAATCCGCATTTATTAACAGGTCTATTGACGCCCAAAGGAGAGCAAAACTGAAACTCTTTTCGACGTTGCAATTTATCACAGAACATAATCTTTAGTTGAACACCTATTAAAATCTGGAAAAGCTACATCTGCGTATGATATCATGTGGTTACGCTAACAGAGGCTTAAAAGTACTATCAACTACAGATTGAGGAATTGTTAAAACTGAGTCGATCTAATTAGTGATGAGAACAAAGGCTGATTTTCTCTGCATTAACAGTAATCCATTCCAAAGTCTCTGAATTGTTAATGAACATTTAATTTAATAACAAATAAATGCGATTAAAATTACTCTAACAGTCAATTTTCTATGTACTCTCCAAGCTACAGAAGAGAACTACCAGACTAAAAGCCACAACCTGCGAGTCAACGAACGTGTATCCGAGTTCTGAAAATTGAGGCTTAAAATTACCAACTTGTCATTTATAAATCATTGAGATCTCTTTGAAATCGTGTAACTAGGTATTGAAATTATTCGATATATATATATATATATATATATATATATAGGATATATATAATTTATCCTATATTAAACAGAGTTTTGTAAATAAGGAACCCTTGATCCCATTACCAAAATTCTCAATTTTCCCAGACTTAGAATAATTAAATTTCATCCTAGTCTCAAACAAACTGCATAAACTACCTTATCACTATATCCCTGTCATGTTCTGCACAAGAATGAGCACGCTTTCTTTCACATGATAAGAACTAATTGTGAAAAAAGTCCTTTCACAAGGAAATGAATTCATGACCTAAACACAATCTCACGAAAATGGAATTTAGCAAGTATTAATCTCTGAATGTGCGCCTTTAACTTAAGTAATAGCTGAATATGAAAAAAGAAAGTTCGAAAATTAATGTTTCTGAAAGGGAAAGCGAACGAGTTAGAATGTCTGAATAATAACCCAAGAACTACAACAAAGTATGCCTTCAAGTGTGAAATTAATTAATTTGCATTCAATATTGAGTATGACCAGTCTAATAGATGTTCGTTCTAGGTATCTAGTTATGGAAATTTAGAAGTGTGTTCATCTGAGAATGTTCAAATATCCATTTCAGTTAAGTAAGGAAGATAGTAAAAACGGTCATTATACCTAAAAGTGACACGAAATTTCTGAAGTAGAGATAGGTCAAAAGACAGTAGACCAGAGAATGAATTGTTCGTTGATAGATGGTTTGCTTAACACAAAATAAATTAAAAATTCATTCCAGTTGGATCTGCCACTTACTATATGCAATTAACTGATTTGGCAATGAGTGATTTGGATCACAGAGAAGAAAAGCTTTTTCCTTCAATATATAAGACCCTTTTTCAATCGTATATATGGATGAGGAATTACACAAACAATCATTTTGATTTATTTAAATTTCACTATAACTTGCATGAAAGAGAACTTATTATAAGAAGAAAGTGGGGTTAATTATATAATGCATTGCTCTATTGAATGTATACTTGCCGATTGCTTGTAATATTGCCAGTTTATCACGAAAATCTAAGTATCTGACAAGTACTTAAAACCAAATATTATCGCTATTGGCACTAAAACAGATACACCATTTACTCTAACCCTAAAAGACAATTTTAATAGCAAAATTAAATTAGTCTACAGTATAATTCCTTCAAATTGGGCTATTTTTGACCAAAATATCTGTAATTAAAATTTACTATAGTGATTTTAACAAAATATACAACAAGGTAGTTAAGTTAACTGAAGAATAAATTAATAAATTAGAGTTTGTTTTGATATGTTAAATCAGTAGCGCGCTGCATGCTTTGTAATGAACTAATATGACAGGGTTAGGAGAGGCTGAACTGCCCACTGCTTCGGATAACGAAGATAAGGAGGAACCAGTTGAAGATGTTGAAGTAGATGCATCCCAGAATAAAGATTTTGGACTGGTTAAACAGTGTAAAGGTAAATCACATTTCATCATTTCACCTCCTTATCAGATAACGCACATCTCAAAATCCTTGTGCCTTCTGTGGCTGCAGGAGCAATTATTGGTAAGAATGGTGAAGCTATTACAAATATACAAAATTGCACTGGAGCAAAAGTTAAAATGTCGAAGGCTAATGATTTCTACCCAGGTAAGTAACCTTTTCTTGGATCTTACAATAATAGGAACCAATGAACGCGTTTGTTTAATTATTGGAACTACGGATGCAATAACTAAAGTCTACGATTATATTTCTGAAAAAATTTACGAAAAACCAGAGACAATCTCGCGTATGGTTCCCGATGGCAGGGTTCCATATGAACGACACAAGCAGGTGAAGGTTCTGGTGCCAAATAGTACTGCAGGGATGATTATTGGCAAAGGAGGCAGCTTTATAAAGGAAATTAAAAGTAAAACTGGAGCTTTCATTCAAGTTTCTCAAAAATCCAGGGAAATGAGTCTTGCTGAAAGGTGTATAACAGTTGGTGGTGAGTATTTCAGCTTATTGCTTCGACCCTTGCTATATCACATTATTTAAATCTGCAAATACTATTTACCTGTCGAAATTATCAGACATGTACGCGAATACAAATGCCCATTTTGTCTGTTGGCGGATTTATCTCTACATTCTGGCTTTTTATATTCCTTTCATATATTGTCTTCATGAGTTTTTCATGAATTAACTATGTAAATCTACTTAGCCGTACTTATTTTGAAGTCACTATTGTGTCGTTAAATGCATTAAGTGCTTGTGTACCTTTAAGGTTGATGCAAGATTGGTAGGTTAACTTATGTCTTCCCTCATTTCTATTTTGCTTTTTCTAAATAGCTGTGGCCTGTGGTCCTAAAGGAATTTTTCATGAAATCCTTTTGTATGTGCACTTGATATTTTTATTCAATCGTTTTTTAAGAATATATATTAGTATGGCTAGATTCATGGCACTTGACAACCAAGATTTTTAAGAACATTATATATTTATTGTCCAGCATTTTATGCCAGTTCCCTCTAGTTATTTGCGCACAGAGTTGTGGATTTTCTAGCTCAAATTGAAATTGTTATCCTGATCTTGTAGAAAAATTGTTTTCGATTCAGAAAGTCAAGAGTAGAGATTATTCAAATTATAATCTACAACTCAAGAGAGTGGGTTTGGGGGGGGGGGGCGAAAAGTGAAGAAGGAGAACTAGGAATGGCCATTAACTTTACCAGTTGAAGTTTGAATTATCGGACAAGAGGCGAGTACATGTCGATAAATAATATTTCCTATCTGTTTCGGTTAAATTTATTTCAACTGGAAGTAAGGGACTCAAAAGTCTTGTTTTCTACCAAAAATTGTGTGTGGTAATCCCCCAATCTTCGGGACTGCATTTCCCTACTATATTGCATTTTGAATACCGAGTAGGTATTTGCTCTACCCGCGTGCTTAGTGCTTTAATTTTTAGACAGAGTGCACCCTTTTCAAATGATCTAATTTATTCATCCCTTTATCTTCCATTATTATTTTCTGGTCGAAAAAATGGCTTTCACTAGTTGCCAAGTCACTGTCGTGTTTGGAACAAATTTGTTTCGCTATTACCACAAGTCCATTTGAATTTTTACGCTGTCTGCTGTTCTGACTGACAGAAATTTCGTATTTTTGCTGGGACACTGTTATACGGTTTGGAGGCAGCCCTTAGCTAATGCTTTACCGCTATTCTTGTAATACGCGCCTTTATTCCCCTGCTAGATTCATATATTTGTGTTTCCTACTTGTTTAAAAACGCCATAGAATTTTTAATTTTTTCTAATACCTATGTAGCTAGCCGTTTTGGTAAATCTAATGATTGGTCTGTCTATTAGATCGCGCAGACCAGTGTAGGTTCTCTGATAATTATTCGCATTCGCATATCCCTTTGCTATTCATTCCTGCAACTCGGGAATAAGTCATAGGTGTTTTGGAAACTTAAGTCGTTTTTAATGATCTCTATCTTTATGTCCCTTAGTAATTGCTCTCCTTTTATTTAGGGTATTTTGCTTCTCCAAGCGGTTAATTATGGTTTTTCTGTTCTTTATGTTATATCGGATCGATTTGTTCGATCATTGTGGCCATTGTCGGATTTCAGATTCACTAGTAAGACTTCTATTGTAATTTTTATCATCTAGTTCCTCTAATTCAAGAATTAGTCCAATTTTATGCAGACAGACCATCGCCTACCATAAACCTTTTCACTTCATAAAACGTGTATTTAATTTCCTCGCCCCTTTTAAAGCGTATTTGCTTGTTTCTGAGTTAAGCTTCTATCTTATTAATCCCCTTCTTTTCATTTGCTCTAATGATAATGAATTTTTTTGTATCATACTAAAGAGATTTCGTGATCTGAATTATGGACTCAGTGAACATTTTCCATGGGGCTAAATTGCGCTATTCCCTCCATATCTAATCGTTACTGCTTTTGCTACTTCATATTTTAGTGTTCTCAGATTTATAAGTCCGATTGCGCTGCTTCAATTATGTGGGTGGGGGGGGGGTCTGCCAACATCGGCTCTATCTCGATAGACCTGCATTCAGTACCATCTTGCAATCGGTATAGTTGGCCCAAATGCATGCCATCAAGTATCAAACCACCAATCCCTAACTTACTTAATTTAATTATCCTGGGTTGTGCAATTATTCAAAGAAGTGTCCTATCTTCAAGTCCAGATTTTATGTAAATTAGTGCACTATCGCATCTTATTTAAAAATTTGTTCGTCCGACTTTTAAGAACAACTTATTACCAGTAATTGAAAGGAAATTTTATGGTTCTAATTTACTTGCCTAATTCATTCCGATTTGCCCTTTAATTTTCTGTTTTTAACATAAGTGTGGGTAATGCAGGTGTGTATGGGTATCACTACCAGATGTTCTATAACCGGAATTCCAAGCAATAGTTACTTCCTACTCGCTTTCTCCTTACTCAATTAATATTAATCTACTGTTGTGCAATTCATTTTTATTTGTGTCTGTGTTTATTCTTATGTGAACTTTCAATTAATTTTAAATCTCTGTTTTTATTGATATAGATAGTATGCGTAATACTAATCGTACAGGTGTAAGCATAACTCTGCATAGTTACTTCTCTTTTGGGAATAATATGTCCTTCTTTGCCAAAAGGTATACTGAAGTGGATCGCTCTGAATATCAATCTCAACAAGAATAACGTTTTAACTATCCTCGTCTTTTATTAAACATGTGGAAATCTTGTTGGCCTTTGCATCTGAGGTAGTTTTAGAGCATCGCTTTCCTTTCCCTATTTATTTGACAGCTTTACATTTCATTTCGTTTGCTCAGATCCCTTGTGGTGGCTTTCTTTTTCTTTTCTCTGCATTTGATTGCGCGTTGATAATTTTTTCTGCTTTAGGAGAGTTGAATCAAACGCGCGAGACAATGCGATTGCTTCTCACCAAGATCGCGGAGGATCCGCTCTCCTCCAGCTGTCCAAATATCTCCTATGTGGATGTGACAGGCCCAGTAGCAAGCGCCTACCCAACTGGCTCCCCCTATGCTCTCTTTTCTGCACCCCCTCCTGGCCCACATCATCCCAACGCGGCCGCAGGCCTCTCCCCCTGCTCACCACCCAATCGATGTTTTATGCACCCACCGCCACCACAGCAGGCACACTCCCACCACCATGGAGGTGGTAGTGGCGGGGGTCATTTGCCTTCTCCCACAGCCCCTAATGGTCGGCTTGACCCCAGTCGTCGTATGATGAATGGACGCGGAAATGGTGCTCCACAAAGCCTCCTTGGTGCTGCATCAATTCCACCTCATGTTGGTGGTAGTGCAGGAGGAGGCGGAGGTGGAGCTAATTTCTGGCCATCCTCTTCTTCCCCTCCTTTCCCAATCTCTCTGGATATTGTAAGAGCTTTTCTTCATTCGACAGGATACACTGAGGATGCTATGGAAGAAATTACCCATGCTATACGGGTCCTGAATGCCTATGGACTGCTCTCGCTGACAAATCTGGCTTCTTGGGTTGGCTTTGGTAGTGGGTCTAGGGGTCCCTTGAACCCCATTCCAAAGAATATTCAGGAAGTCCCCCCTCCTTCCGCCTCTTCGCAATTCGGGTCTTCCGGAGGTTTCGTGTCTACGTGTCCCCAGCAACAACAACAACAACAACAGCAGGCGTGTGGACAGCAACCACAACAAACCTCTTCGGGGTCGGATTCCCTCTATCGGCTGCAGGATAATGGAGGTGGCCCAAGTAATGTTCCAGCTACTGATAGTGGTGCAGACGTTGGTGGCTCTCGATAGGTCTACAGTGTGTTCCTCCTAATCCCTCTATTATTACAAATACCCTTAGTCTTTCTGTTGAGATGATTATTAACACACATACAGAGCCATGGAAAATACACCAAATCGAATTTCACTCTCATTAATTTCCGCGCCATTCTTTCATCTCTTTCATAAGTCATATGTAGAGCAGCCAATCTGTGATATCATCCACTCGTCCATAAAAGAAGATGATGACATAACGCCTTATTGTGCTTCTCTTTCATCTCCACCCTGATTTTCTCCCCCTACTTGGCGTTATTTTGGCTAAACTATATTGTGCGATTTTATGGTCTGTTTCATTTGAGCCTCTCTCTCGTATAATTTATTTTACTTACATCTACACTGTCATTGAGAATTAGTTTCTTTCGCACAAATATCATTATACACACACACACACTCTACATAATTAGTGAAGAAAAGTATGCTGTTATAGAAATATTCTTTTGTGAGCTCGCATGCATCTCTTTCCTTTGGTCTCTCTTGTACTCTTTCAGTCTCAATTTCTCTCATTTCCATAATTCACTCTCCATGTTACATTTGAGAATAAAGGTGTCTTGCCTGAAAACGGTTTTGAGTGGTGGGCGTTTCGAAGGGCGTAGTGCTTTTATTCAAATCTGTTGGGAAGATGCCGTAGATTAGGAGGTACTAGACGATAGAGGGGCTAGCTGGTCTCATGCTTCTAAATTGCAAACAGAATAGCACTTGAGATGGTCACTTATTTTGTCTGTCCTTTTGAAGCGTAGGGGGTGATAGACGTGTAGAAAGATAAAGACTAGACTCTGTAGTTGTGTAACCACAGTCAACTCATAATCAACACAACGCAGTGGGTAAACTATAAAATGACGTCTAAATTCAAATCAGATAGAGGCCACTGCTTAGGAGCCATTGATGTGGGATTAATGTCCTCACCAAAACATGTCAATGGTTGATAATTAAGGGTTAAAGAGTGAAGAAAACAACACAATGAGCTGTGTTATTGCATGTTACGTCACTCGCTTCAAAGATCAATAATGGTCGATATCTAGCTAGGGGTACCTAAGAACAGAACCAAGTGTAAGTTGTAGTTGTGAAACCTGCCAACTCATACTTGATTCGCAAGAGGTTTAGATGGGGGGACGAAGTGTTGCCATAGGTGTCCTTCCATCGCTAAACTTCTAATGCCACGGCTTTATTTCTCTAACCAATAATGATGATTCAGAGAAATTCTTGGCTATCTCCTTTCAATCTAATATAAGTCCTTGAGGGCACTTTTCTTGCATGGACTAGGGAATTCACAAGTCAGAGACGCGCGAAGTGGATGTCAAGCTTTCGTGAAAATTTGAAAAAGAGGTAAGAAAAAGTCAATGGTCATATTTTGTCAAAGTTTGGAGATATCCCCATGCTTTTCGCACTCATTTACGACGTTGCCTAAAACTATCGATTGTTATTACTAATTCTCACCGTCCCTCCTTTGAAAGCTTTATTTTATACACTTATAGCTCTTAATTCACCTGTCAAACTTGTCGCCAATATCTTCAATAAGATAAAATAAAGACACGAACAAGAAATTCATTTCCGATCATTCTTAAAATGGCAACTGAAATAAATTTCGAAATTATTCGAGTTCATTCTCTTATTTCACTCAAGCAAATAAGGTGAGAAAATAACATCTACACCTAACTATTTAAAAAAAAACAAGCGAACGAACGAATACCCCCCCCCCCCACCCCCCTTCCAAATTTGAGTGAAAGTGCAGCACAAGTGTTATTGCGTGTAAGAAAATGGACGAAAGGTGGGATTTAACAAAGGAAGCTTCACAAATTGTTCACGTTAAAATCATATTGGACACAAACGAGTTCACGAAATGAACGACCATCATCGGTTGTTGATGCAGCACATCATAGCTTACTGCGTTTTAGCCTCCAATCGATGCGAAGCAGTAATTGCAGATAGGTTGCACGCAAGTTTAAGTACTTCAGCCAATCGGTTGGGAGCATATATAGGCGACCAATAAGGAAAGAAGGTGTGATGGACACGCAGGTCGACGACGTGTGCGCCCTATTGCGCAAGTAGAGAGGTGAGCGCCATAAAGGGGTGGGGTAGATGTCGGGTAGAGCTCATAAAACAGTTAATCCCCCCCCTCCCTACCTCTCTCCCTTATTAGTTTATAAAGAAATTTCAATTTATTTTCCACGTAAATCGCATCGGATGCTAACCAAAACGCAGTTTATTCTAATGTTAATAGAAAGTGGCCTTCTATTGACAAAACCATTTCACTAAGTATAATTTACCACGCAATAAAAACAATCGATCATTTACTTATGATTGCTTAACATTGAACAAAATGGAGAAAGCGTTTTGTGCTAAATGGGCTTAAGAGGTCAGTCTTCTTCCGCGGTGATTAGAAGGATTCAATATCCGCTTAAATTAATATTCTGATTGACCAAAACTGAGTGTTATCTATTAATACATACGTAGATTGACAATGGCATGTTTAAAACTAATAATCAAGGAGTATAAGGTTGGAATTGGCGCAAATTCAAGGCCTTGTTTAAATCAACGAGAAGGGAAGGTTATTTGAATCGGGGTGTTTCGTGGGAAGACTAATGAAAGTACTGGCACTTGCACTAACGCAAAGTTATACTTCAAGGCACATGGGATTGATTTTTTTAAAATTTGCTCTTACTTAAACTAGCAAGGAAATAAAAATTAGTATTATGTCCCAGGATATATTTGTGTAGGTTAATGTGCTTTTATGAGACCACAAGATGGTAGCACAGACATGAAACCTACCTGATGATAATTTTACATTTTCGTATAATTTTACCAAACTGTATGGGCGAATTGAATAGCAACAAAGCCAATAACTCAACAAAACCACCAAAAAGTTCTATAAGGCGAGTCTTATTCCAACGCCATCTAAGGCGACGGCCCTGAAATTCAGCTACACTTTGACAATCATAATGGTTTAACAAAGAAATGATTAATAAATCGTTAATGTAATTTATATTGGACAAAAAGAGGTGTGCGATAGACTTACCTCCACGTGGTGCACCCTGGGCAACGTATACTCATACGGCAAAAAAATCCATCAACTGGCAGCTGACTTCTAACTTCAAAATACCATCACCCCGCTGTATGCCATATTCGACCCTTCACAGTACTCATCTTACCTTTTTTCTACCTTTGTGTCTGTCTGTCTCTTTTACGTCTGGGAATCATTATTCTGTCCCCCTCTCGACTTTTTGCCACTTTGATGTTCCTCTTCCTTTCTGTGAAGCCCGAAGTCAACTTTAGGGCTAATGATACCTATCATAACGCCAGCCATTTAAAATAAATAAATAAATATTGGACAAAAAGTTTTCATTATATCTAGCAACTTTTCTTTAGTTTAACAGAGATTCAATCACTGAATCATTTCATGGGTCATTATCCCGTTACCTGCGATGTTATAATTAAGACTAATAAGTTAATAATAATTTTAATGAATATTTACCACATTTTCCAACAGAGTCTTCTTCGGATAGCCTGCTGACTCACAATTTGTATCTGAACGGAATATATAAACCTAAAATAAACATAATTTGATTTACATTCCAAACAATAATAATAATTGCTTAGAATTGAAAGTGAAGTCACTCGGTTAAATAGCAAGAGCTTTACTACTTGAAATTAAAAAATAAAACAAACTCATTATTAATGGTAGAGGAGGTAGATAAGTATGTAAAATGCGGGGCAACCGATTACTTCTTCCCATTTCATTTATAGTTTCACTGTAGTAGAGTGACAATGCTGCAAAAGGTAAAGTAAGTGGTGATTCAGAGGTTATCAGTCTGTTATAACAAAGATTAATAATTTCTAATGAAACTTATTCGGAATCTCAATTTATTACAGGCAACAAGTAAGGAATCCAACACAGGAAGGAATCTTTCGTATGACAGAAACACTCCAAAGTCGATCCCCATTTCTTAAACGTCAAAATTCCAGCTCACAGTAATACTAACGAGGACAGTAAAACAAAAAACAATGCTCGATTTTTTGCAGTAAAGACAATGCTTTTGCACATTCGAAGACCAGCGTTGCACAGTCATAAGCATCAGCAACAACTGATTTCTGGATACCTTGTGCTAGAAAATCCAAGGGTACAAAGAAGCATCATATTTCAGGTTTTCATCGGCAAACATAAACCTAACAAGTATCCGGAAGCACAATTACTTACCTCCACGTATACTCATGCGGCAAAGAAGTCTATAAACCGGCAATTGACTTCTGAGTTTAAGTTATCATGACCCCATTCTATGTCATATTCGACCACTTTCACAGTACTTACCTCACCTTTCATCTACCTTTGTGTCTGTCTCTTTTACATCTTTAAAACACTCCTCTGTCCCCCCCCCCCTCTCGACTTTTTTCGCTTTGATATTCCTCTCTCTCTCTGTGAAGCCTGAAGTCAACTAAAGGGCTAATGATAACAATCAAAACGCCTGCCATTTGATATAAATAAAAAAATACTTCAATTAATGAAGAGAAGCAGACATATGAAAGTCGTCAAGTATTTGGGCATAAAACGGGCACTACAATAAAACTCAACAATATCCTCTGGTAAAATCCGCCTGTACAGAATTGCTCCCGAAATTAGCTAAGCTCCCTTAACAATATAGACGAAACAAAGCTTATTGAGTGAGCGGCAATTATTATGGTTATGGGACTCTAACACAACCTTAGTCTGTAAAATATAATTATGGCTGCGCTACGTTGTGGCGACTATTGATAGCCGGCTTGTTGAGAGGTATCCACACTCACGACCGCACTTGCTCGTTACGCGATAAGTAGCACGACCGCACCTTCCAGACCGTCCGAGTGCGCAAGAGAATATCTAGTTCATCTTCGATATCATTGTGCACTCCACAAGCACAAATTCCCTACTTCAACTCGAATTTTAACATTACAACTTATCCCAATTGTGCTATAAACGCTGACTTCATAAAAGAGATGGAAAATGGAAGGGACTAGGCTGTTATTATATCCAAATTGGTATTCGTTTAAAGCTCCAGCTAAGTGATAAGGTTGACTGTTCTAGCTGAGGAACGCCTAGATTATCTTAATGCAGCCAAAGATATTGAAGATACAAATATTTCCTTCTGGTTTAATTTAATCGTGATGATTTTAATCGACAATTCCATCATGTGCTCTACTAGTTTCATTTCTCGTTAATCTATCTAATAGTTAATTAATTAAAATTTTCACATACTGACTTTACTTTTCTTAATGAGACTTTCAAATTTACCCGGAACGCCCTGTATAACAAAGTATTACCCCGTCCCCAATCTCACCCCGAATAGTTTTCCATACTATGTATATAAACGAGGTATAGTGTGAATCGATATGTGGATAAAAAACGTGGATTGTGATTTGGGGGTCATGTTTTATTTTGGTGCTGTCTGGTCGTATTTCTTCAACCAGCGAATAACAAAGGCTGATTTTCGAAGAATGCCATTATCATTGAAACTCCCCATTGTGAAGAAGTTACTGCCTGAAATACAACCGAAATGGCTACAGAAGAGGCCTCTGACGCATGTCATTTACGTGTAGTTCAAGGAAGCAGAATTCGATCACCAAGAGACGAGATCAAACTAAGCTAATATAATGTGGGGGTTCTAGAGGCTCTCGTTATGGATCCAAGTACATAGTGCATCTCTACATTGCGTCAAATTTTGTTTCGATCAATCGATCAGCCACCCAAGACATATTTCCCTAGAGGTCAGGTTTGAGGACAGAGTGCAAAGGTACGCGGCTATCAAAACAACATCATGTCCTGACAAAGTTTGACCGGCAGTGTGTACAAGGTGTGGGCGATCTTGTTTAAGCCCTTAACTATCGTTCAAATCTCAAACGGAGAGAAGTTATAAACACTAAGTTTCCTAGTAACAATATCTAAGACATATTAATAGAAACGGTAGCTTGTGTTTGTGCTCACGAACAAATCAGGCCATGAAGATTTGATTGATTAAATTGAACAAGACATGACTCTTTAAATAGTCCTGTTGTAATTTATTTTATTGTATTCTCTTGTTTACCGACCTCTCACTCTTGTAACAGATTTGATTCTAAGATATAATCAAATGAACTATTTTGTAGGTAAATAATAAGGAACATGAATGTGCTATTAAAGTAAAATAACTAGGTATAAGTCAAAATTTGTCTTAAAACCATTTTTCTCTGCATAATTACTCATAATCGAGATAAATTGGATTAGTTCAAGAATTTAACACCCTAATGTTGAAAATTAAAAGAGTCAATTAAATAGGGTATAAAGAAGAACGCAAACGTGAGTTAATATAGTGTAGCTCATTGAGATGAAAATATGTAGTGTTTTAAAATATATGAACCAGAAAGGTTTCTTACTTATATTAATTAAAGTTGAAATTTCGTGTGATCATAATCTCAGGTAAATAAATAAGAATTAATATATAACTCTATATATATATTTATATAAAATTTAACTGTCTCGCAAACGTTATAATTAGGTTTTTAATGAAATAATAAATTACAAAAAGTTAGCAAATTTAAAATTTAGAATAATTAAAAATTATAATTTAGCAAACACAAATTTTGTTTTAACACTTATGGAAACATTGAGAGAATTTACATTTGAGGTCGTCTTATATTTTATCTATTTTCTGCGCCGTATTGGAGCCAGTAAAGGCACGTTTGGCAGGCTACTTTAATTAACATGTCGCAGTCTAATGCTTCGTTTTACATTGGATTATCACTAGCTCTTTCTTCAACAGTATTTATAGGATGTAGTTTCATTGTCAAAAAGATTGCCTTGCGAAGGCTCGCCTCTACGGGAACGCGCGCAGGTTAGCTATATTATGAAAACTCTCATTGATTTACAAAAACATTATTTTTGATATCCTACATTTTTGACGTTGAGCTTACCACTATATTTTGCATATACATAATACTTTAAATTAGCAAAATTTTAGAATTTGTCTATATAATTATTTGAGTTATTATACTTTTCTTGCTATTATATAAGCAAAAGTCTTTGGATTTTCCTGATTTAACCACTATAATGCAGATGGAATTTTATTCTGAATTTTTATTTAAATTTACATGCCAATAACTGGTGGTTAGGCTATATGTATACCTCCTAAGTTTCTCCGAGTTTTCGTCTTGGTTACTATTTAGAAGGATTACATGGACCTTTAATTTTCACTTGTGCTTTTAGAGCGATCGGCACTGAAGTAACTAAAATCTAAATTAGTAGTAGTTGGGATTTATCATATTATCGTTGATATTTCTTAGCACGTTGATCATCGAAATTATTAAATATTATCCTCTTCAGTTGGCTCAACTAGTTCTCAAATCTTTTTTTTTCTCGAGCGTATCATCTACTTGAGTGGTTTTGTTATTTTTTGGGCTGATAAAAGTCATTACTTATAAGCTATTCAATTGCGTGTGCGTATGTCGTACTTTTTAGGCGATGGCGGTTACCAGTACCTACTTGATTGGGTGTGGTGGTTTGGACTCATCCTGATGGGTCTTGGTGAAGCGGCAAATTTTGCTGGCTACGCTTTTGCCCCAGCATCCCTTATTACGCCGATGGGGGGATTGTCGGTCCTTGTCTCCGCAGTCCTCTCCTCTCACTTTCTTGGTGAAAGACTCAATTTCACGGGGAAGATTGGCTGTGTTGTGTGTCTTTGTGGATCGACAATGGTTGTACTGCATGCTCCCAAAGAACAGGAAGTCCAATCTCTCCATGAACTCAGTTCCAAAGTCCTTAACCCAGGTTCGTTTAATAAACATTTTAAGTATTTCCCTTTTTTGATCATTTGAAGAATTCCATTGTCACGATGAGCTCCCCATTAATGGAATTTCGCTGTATTCAAGTCGAATTTCATGATTAAGAGTGGTCTTTTTGTAACAAGCATTCACTCCGATTGACAAAATTTTTGAGGCAATTGCAGAAAATTTCAAACGTTTTTGTGCAGGCTTTGCTGCAATATTTGTTATAATTATGGGCTAATTTTTAATTATTTTTTATTTTAATTTCCTGTGGAACGATCATTTTGACATAGATATATTTTTTAAATTATTGACATGAAATCTAAGCACTCGAAATTTGGAGCAGAGAGGAAATAAATGAATAACATATAGGCGCCCACATAAACTATGATTTTCAGCTTTATTCACGAAAATGTCCTAAAGCGTTAAAACCCATGATTTACAAAGATCTTCAATTTGATTAATGAAAGCATGCGTCCCCTTAATAAGATTGGAAAAAAACAGTTTAAAATGAAATGCAGTCTGGATTTTTTTTCATTTTAAGCTGAATTGCAATAAATATGCCTTGATTGTCAGTTCTAAAACAGGAATACAGTTAGGCTATTTTCATCTGACCTGAAATATGTGTTGGTAGAATGTGATTAGGCTCCTCACCTGCTATGTATTTCTGATTGAAGAGATAAATTAGAGCTGCATAACGGAATCTTTTACTGAAATCATATGCTTCAATGCTTTGGAACCTGATTTCTTAATGCAATTTGCAGTGGTTCCTTTTGATGTTGGAGCATCTTAATCAACTTGAGGCCGACTTAATTTGACCTTACCTATTTCTGCTTGTCGAATATGCTTGAATTCCTCATTTAATATATATTTCTTTAGAGCCCAAATGATATTTATTTATATCAAATGGCAGGCGTTTTGATAGTTTTCATTAGCCTTTTAGTTGACTTCAGGCTTCATAGAGGGGAGGAACATCAAAGTGAAAAAAGTCGAGAGTGGGGGGGGGAGGAACAGAAGAGTGTTTCAAAGATGTAGAAGAGACAGGCACAAAGGTAGAGAAAAAGGTAAAATGAATACTGTGAAAGTGGCCGAATATGACATACAGTGGGGTCATGGTAGTTTGAAGTCAGGAGTCAACTGCCGGCTAATAGACTTTTTTGCCGTATGAGTATACGTTGCCCAGGGTGCACCACGAGGAGGTAAGTCTATCGCACACCCCGCACAAATGATATAAAACCACAAAAATGTATATCTGTCTATAGAATCTAGCGTTACGGCTTTGAAATCCAGCAATACTTGTCATACGGTGAGGGAATTGCGAAGAGCATAAAGTGTTTAGGGAAGGAGTATCTTGTCTCGATAGAGGCTCCATGATACTATTCATTTACCAAAATAAGTTTTGAACTTGGTAGTTATTGTAAAACATTTAAGTAAGCAAGTTTCCATGTTGATAATCTCACTATTTTAAAACAAATTGCTTTTGAAGTTTGCGATTTTTAGATCGCTGTTTCCCCACTCCCTATTAAAATGCTTAGACAGGAAACCCAAAATTATTTATTGTGTAAATTACAAAAAAACATTAGTATTTTACACAACCACTCAACTTAGCACAACTTGACACACCCACTGAAACCAAATGGAGTACACAGCTTTGTGGGTTCTGAGAAAGTGAGAGAGAGAGAGATGGAATGTGATTCGTTTCTGTCGCTTTTTTTACTCTCGACTCACGTTGTAAGCTACTTTAATCTTTGAATTGTTGGAATCCTGTTTTTATACGCCATTTGTATCACAGGATTCTTGCTATCAGCCGTATTTCTGCTTATGTAAGACTTTTGGCAGTAAATATTTTGATCCAAAATCATTGGCACGTTTCCTCACTTTTGTCTATGGATCGATTTAATTATTGGTGACTCATCCATAAGTTAAGTGCCTCCAGTGTGAAAATTACATGTCATAATTAGTTTACCCTAAGTAAGCAGCCATACTGCTATCGAATATTTAATCGATAAATGATTTATCAAGGATGTTAATTGCTGCTTGAACTTATTTTTTATTAGTTTTCTGGTTCGAAATATTCTGTTCCAATCAAAGGTAATATGTTGGGCAAAACCCTGCTTCGTTATTGATTACGTTTTTAAATCGATACAAAGAATAACCCCCAAGAATACTAAACTATTAAATTCATTAAATGAAATGGTCTATTTTAACTCATGATGATTAAATTACAATCAATATTTGATTATTTGTCTGTTTTCATGGAAGTATTCCTTTCTTTTGAAGCCTAAGACGATTATAAATAAAGTGGTAAACACTTTGAAGATCCTCTTCTTCTTTGAAAACGTGTTCCATCACACTTCTCTTCCATTCCGTTTATATAATTCAGTTAATTATTGAGTGATACACATTCGTGCAATTGAAGAAGTACTTGAGATTTTTATGCGCCATTGACAATTTAAAAAATGAGAAAGGCGATGTGCAATGATTCAATGGAGTTCTTTGCCCTATTCTGTCCCATATTCAAGTGATGAAAAGCGATAATACTTTATCACACACCAAAGGTTAAACTATTGCCCAAGAAATATAAAACCCAGGAATTATGCTGTCTTAAAATCATTACTGGTGTATTGTTTGAGTTTACCGTGGTATTGTAAGTAGACCCTCTGTTGTAAGGCGATTAGTAAGCAGTTGACTTTAAGGCCAATTGCTCTCACCATGGGATTGCTATAGTTACCACAATAGTTTGTCCTTTCTACTCTTGATTATTTGTCTTATTTGAACTAATCCTTATCGATTCTGTTTCAATACGTCTTGGATTTATATTAGCAAAGGAACTAATAACTGACATCCAATAACGAGCTTTTTAACCTACAAAACGGTTGAGTTAGTAGATTTTATTGCTGATTTATTCAATTACCATTATAGAAATTGCGACAGTAGTTTATCTAGTTAGGTAAGCCAATTTCCCCAGGAAAAATATGAATATGTCCGTTTATTAATAGATTGTACGAGGGCGCGATTGGTGTATTTAATGTTTTCTTTTTTAACCTTTAGCTGGGATTTTTCCTTCTAAAATGATAATATATGTTCATAAAAAATCTCACATTGGGATATAAAATTTTAGGGGATAGGTTGCGTGGTCAATTTCCTTAATACGAGAATCAGCTTTATGGGTTTGAATGGAAGTGGTGGTGATGGAAGTGCTTTCTTGGAGCCACTTTGGAAGTAGATCGCCTTTTTTTACTAGCGGTAACCAGTATGATTGGTATTCCTATCACTGGATGCGCATCACTCTTTAACTTACCCACCTCATAACATCTACCTGCCTAATTAATGGTCAGGTATGTGTCCTTTTTCCTTCCTTTTGTCGAAACATGCCAAAATGTGCTGGGTTTAGGCATCTAACGATCTTAGCTAGTGGGTCGATTTTAAGCCAATGTTATAGTTGTCTATGGCGCAAATATTATTCACGAGCAATTCTTTTGAGGAAATCAAAAGCTCCTCGTATAATAGACAATTGATTTTAGCCACCCCCCTCCTCCGAATTTGCAAGGTAGAAGAACCTCAAATGGCTGATGCCAAATAAGTATTATTTATTTATATCAAATGGCAGGCGTCTTGATGGTTATCATTAGCCCATTAGTTGACTTCAGGCCTCACAGAGGGGAAGGAACATCAAATTGAAAAAAGTCGAGAGGGGGGGGGGGACAGAAGAGTGTTTCAAAGATATAAGAGACAAACACAAAGGTAGAACAAAGGTGAGGTGAGTACTGTGGAAATAGTCGAATATGGCATAGAGTGAGGTGATGGTAGTTTGAAGTGAGAAGTCAACTGCCAATTTATAGACTTTTGCCGTATGAATATACGTTGCCCAGGGTGCACCACGTGGAGGTAAGTCTATCGCACACACCTCATGCCAAATAAGTAAATAAATTAATTAGTGCTCTTTCACCCCCTTTTCCTTCCTCTTTTGCAGGTTTCATCATCTACACAATAGGAATAGCGATTGCTGGAATTATATCTATTTTTGTGATTGCGCCCAAGTTCGGAAATCGGAACCCCCTTGTTTTTGTTTTTATTAGTGGCAGCATTGGATCTCTCTCTGTCATGGCTTGCAAAGGCATCGGATTGGGCTTTAAGGTATGTTTTAAATATGAAATAAATAAAAATATGTATATGTATATATATACTCCCAATATTGCTTTCTCACGGCTGTCCTTAAACCGGTATCATTGGGTGTGTGTGTGTGTTAATTTGGCCTAAACACTTGAGCCCACTAACACGATATTTCTATTTGCCTTATTCTAAAATGAACTTTAGCCATTTTAAATAGTCAAAAAGCAAATAATCACGTATTAGCCCTGCACATTTAGCAATCGCAAAGCTCTTCTCACGATGAAAGTGCGGACGAAAGCGAAACTATGACCATGACAACCAACACATTTGTTCCACAGGGGTCTTTAAAACTAATTTTTAATTAACAAAGAAGCATATGCGATGATATAGCTCATTAGTGTCTTTCTTTGTTACTTCTTTCCCTTCAGAAATTTTGCTTTTTTTTGGCTATACATTGTTGTGCTAACAACACGTATTATTTTAACATAATTATTATTTCAAATGGTAGGTTTCATGATATTTATCTTTAGCCCTTTATCTTTAAAATTGATTGTCCATTTTTTGTGTTAATTTGACTAAACAGTTTTAAGTTGAAGGAAAATTTTGTTCACGAGGGCAAAGTAACAAAGTTATCGATTTTTCTTTGACAGCCCATTAATGCAAAAGGAATACGAGTTTACTTTGTTAACTTAATTTTAAGTTGATTAGAATTTTGTTAGGTCAACTAAAATATGGCTTATGGTTGCTCTGAAGAAGACTAATTGAATGAAGAGGAATACGTAATGAAAGCTCGCATTTAACGCGTTAGCAATAAATTGGTATTAGTACACGCACTTTAACAACCCTACATTCCCTATGCCGGTGGGTGAAAAAGTGGAGGAAAGGAGAAGGGAGATAGTCCATACTAAGTGCTGTATCCTCCGGGTGTGACATTCTCTGAAGTGAATAAATGACAATCCCTCAGGTAAGATTTTACTAGACTTACGCATCCAACTTAATTTGGGTCGAATAATGTTAGCGTACTCATCACAAAAATGGCCTTATTTAATTAACACTCGAAATAACATGAAACAATATAGAGACACACGTTTTTGAATTTGAACTGAAAGCAGATTGGAAGTTATTGAGGTGCAGAATCTACCTCCAGCCACTTTCAATCACCATTAGATGCTATGTGAATGATGTTATGTACCAATTCAATTCCCTCTTCTGTTCTTTCTTCAATGTTTTCGAGTCTTAATCTTTTGTTTTCGTGAACCAAGAGTCTTCTATTAAAAATAAACTCCTTTTTGACAATCCCTATTGATCTCTTAGATTAATTCCGACTGCCTAAAAGCTGTTTACTACTACTAAATGTAAGTCCGGATATGCCACGACTGGATTTGTTAGTGAAAATAGTTGTGGAGCAATGCCGGTGCACTCCTCTTTGCCATTCTGGGTGAAATAGACTGTTGGACATTTCGAGTTGAATACTGTGTCCTTGGACAGGTAGTCTCACTATCTTGTGGGATGGCATAACGCTCGATTTAATTTGCAATTTGATCCGTTATATAAGTGGCGTAAAATCATTCGGAATGCCTATGGTAAATTAATCGCATGCAATGACTGGAAAAGTGTTTTTTTCTCATACATAATTTTTTAAACATCAGCTAATTAAATGCCAGAGGAGGAGGAGGAGGAGGAGGCAACATTGTTTAGATGGCTCGACCAAAGAGAACTGAGCTAATCGGTATTTTAGTTAAGTAAGGCGATAAGAAATAGAATACCTGAAGTCCTCTTTATCTTAGGGTTAAAAACCTTTTGTGTGAATTCCTACTCGAAATGTTGTTTATTATTACTAATACCCGTGGCATTACTAAAAAAATTACCTGGCCTTTAATCGGGTAAATAAGCTAAAAGATTTATAAAAGAAGGAACGATTTCAAGAAAGAGCAGATAATGAAGTCGTGGAATCGGAATTTATATATCGGAATATATATATATCTAATAAAGAAGATTGGATATTCGGTATCACCTGTGCAGACGTATTTATAGCTATAGTGTTGATTGAATCTCATCATCTTCTAGTGGTACGTTTAATTCACGCAAATCCTCCCAATGTGCACAAGTTTTAACAAACGTTAGGTTTTTTTCTCCAAAATTAGCGCTCTAATCTAACCCTATGACATGAACTTGAATGCACTGTGCTCACAAACTCCCTCGATCGATAATGCACTCTGTGTGGTATCTTTTTTTTAGGAAGCAGTTGAATTTGGTATTCTATCAACCTTCCGACAATCGATATTCTGGTTCTTCCTCATTGGCCTGATCTTCTGCCTAACTATTCAATTGAATTACCTTAATCGAGCATTAGATATCTTCAATACGAGTATCGTCACCCCACTGCTATATGTATTTTTTACGGCATTCGTCCTGATAGCCTCCGCAATCCTATTCAAAGAAGGCGCCTCGCTGACTGCCACTGACTACATTGGAAATGCTGTTGGACTCATCTGTATAATCAGTGGAATTGTGCTGCTGACATTGTTTAAGGTTAGCTTATCATCTTCATTAAACCCAAATTAACATATACGGTTTGCTAAAACGGATTTCATTCGATGGATTGTGTTTGTTTGAGGATAAAGTTGGAGCAAAAATTAATATAACTATCTTTCATTTTCAAGCCTCAATGATGAGTTTTGCTATTAAAAGCCATAAACTTGCTTCATTTACAACACTTTATAACTTAAACTTCCATCTTATAGCAATTTATAATCTATTCTCTATGGGGTTTGATTAGCTCCGTTTGCCTTTTCTTAGTCTTTTTTTTCCTAGGTCATTTCAGGACCTGATGACTACTCGGAAGCAAAGTACTGCTATTTAAAATAGGGTCGAAATGTTTACCATAAAGTCGAATTTCGGCTCTTCTTAGGTCAAATAACTCGTCATTTTGTTTTAAAACTGGTTTCCCATCGCTCCTACTATGCTCAGAATCGCGCGAGTATTGCTCTCATGCTCACATTAGTCCACCTTATTTCTCCTGGTTTTATTCCATTCTTCCTGATATGCACGTGGTAGCCGATCGTAATTAGATAATTTAAGCCGATTTTTTGTTTTGCTAGGCTGCTGATTCGAGATAAGTAATTTACCAGGTCATTTCTTTGAACGATGTAAACATAAAATCAATAATGAATTAAACTTAGTTAAGGTGACACAATCACTTCATAAACTACAATTAGGATGCAGTAGGCAATGCAAATTTCGGGGGTAGATTTCATTTTTGACAGATTTTCTGTGTGCTTAAGTGAAAAGCTATCGAGTTTTTGACGTTGATATATTCCTCGATAAATTAATATTGCTTTGTGCGTTGCTCTGATGTTTTCACTTATCAATCGTTATCGGTGTTTTATTCGAAGGAGGGTTTTCGCGTGCCTCTTGTCACCATCAACAGAATGCGTGGGCCGCGAATGCATTTATGCTAGTTAAAGGCTACCCATCTACATACGTTTTTCTAAACCCAATGAATGACTGACAATTTGGAATGAATAATTGAAATCAATTTAGCTCAGATATACTTTTAAAGCTATCTGTGCTTCCTCTAGTGTATTTTTTCTTGCCCCTGATACCTTGCAGATATCGCTTCGAAATTTAGTCCTCTGTATTCCTCCAATTTCTCCCTATTTGAGCTAGAAAAAAACAATTAATCTTTTTTCATATTCTTTCGGACAAATTTTCTATTTTCTTGTTGAGTTAATAAATTAGGTAGATAGGTTTTAATTCCTCTTTGGATTTCCGTAACTTCGGGTGGTTTAGATAATAATTATTGTCACTACTTATGTAAATTAAGTAAAATGAAATATTTACAATTTTAGGATGTAAATATATCGCTGAGTGATTTGGTCAAGGAGTTTATGAGTCCAGTACCAACTCGAGTTATACATCTGAATAGTGATGCAGCAGCAAAATACCGTTTTTCACCAACCTGGTGCAAACGAAATGGTCGTACTTTCGCAGATGAGTCGTATACACTTTTATCTACTTTAAATGAATGTAATGTGAATACAGAAAGCAGTAACGGTTCTCCGTCAGGTCATGAAGTTAACGAATATCCAAAACTGGAACGGTTTCAGGGTGTACATCAGAGGACTGGCTCCAATACCTCCACTTTCAACTTTGCCACAGTTATGGATAATAATGAGAACTATGCAACTGTCAGTGACAATCCTACGATCCATCATCCTGCTGCTTGGTGATTTCCTCCATGTAATTTAACCAGAAAGAACACAACGTCTTTCCTTCTTCCGCGATGCCTTTTTTATATATATATATATACATATAATTCAACTTTTCCGGACCCCCCCCCCTTTTATTCATTCTTCCGCATTGTATCAACTATTACTATTTTTTGTATTTTTCCTTTCCATATACGGAAATTTCTTCCTTGTTCTGAGCTGGAACAAAGTGTTTTAGATCGTTCTTGCAGTTGTATCCTATTTATGGAAGGGTCCATAGACAAAGCGATTCATCTTAGGTTTTAGTGTTATTAATTATGCTTTTATTCTAGTGTATAATTTCCTGATGGCAATTTAGTGTGTTTAGGAGACAGAAAGCACTAAAGCATTATGTCAAATATCAAGAAAATTAGGTAAATTGACTATGAGAGAAATTGAATGGAACTGAAAATCATGGGGGGATGATTTATCTCATTCATTTGGTAAAAATAAGTAATCTTAGTCAATGTCTCCTTTTTAGAAGGAATTGCATAGTGTTGAAAAATTTAGTCTATTAAATAGATGAATTCAAATTAGGATTTTCTGCAATACAGAAAAATCAATAATGAAATGCGACTGGAAGAAAAATCGATCTCACACGTGCGTAAAGCAAAATTAACATCTAAGGCCACAAGCCGTGCCCTGTCTAGTGAAACTAATTTATTTAGAAGTTCTAATCATCGGCGCTTTAAAAGTTTGCCGAGAGAAGGAAGTGTTAGAAAATTGGGCGTGAAAAAAGTGGAAAATGAAGTGAATACATATGCAATTTCAGAGCTAATAAATTGAAAATAACATTTTGATGACCACTATACGGACATCTTCATCGCAATAATTTTAATGGGGGTAGTTAAAAAGTTCTTATTCAACAGTTAGCTGAATATTTTTCGACTGTAAATTAAGGTATATACTGCACCTCTATCAATTTACATAATTGCCAATGTTATGAAAGTTTGAATTCAGAAGTTTTCGCCATATTTCTGAAATGGTTCTTTTTGCGGCGACCTTCATCCGCCTCTCAAGATCATGGGTGAGATGATTTAGGCTAAACTTAGAACCGGTTATTTAATTCTATTATCAGCAACTGTATCTATTTACGACCTGACTCTGTAGACATACACAATTTCCATAGAAAATGTTAAAATTTTAGAGCATTAAGCCTTTGTAACTGAAAAATGTAAACCAGTTAAAATATACTTGAATAAAAAAAGGAGTTGAAGCTCTTATGAATTCAATGACAACAAACAGAGTAATTTTCCCAAATAGTTTAAATATTGTATTTATTCATATTAATAAAAAATTGACAATTTTCAACTGTGGAAAGCAACTGAAATCGATTAATAAAAATGTCCAGGGATTGTAATGAGGAGGAAGTAAAAAAAGATGATGGAAGCAACACCAGGGTATCGAGGAGTTTTTTCCTCATTTGATGTTGCAATTCAAGTTGTACGTTATTAGCCAAATTGGTATAGCACATTCCACGCATTTACGATTTATCCCCTGGTGGATCGCAGTGAGTGTTAGTTGGTAGCTTTTTTAATAAAATAGGGTCGATCAACCTTTGTCGATTTTGGTTTTTTTATGTCCAGTGTTTGAGAGGAAAAATATTCTGAAATAAGAATTGGCTGCTTATGCTTTTATTAAATTTTATCTCATTTGTTTTCTGTAGATAATGCAATTCATGTTTCTCAAATAGACCCCGTAAAGTTAAAATGACAAGATTAACCAAGATCCATGGCAAGGACATGAGTTTAGGGATTGAACAGGTAAAAACGGCGTTTTTTTCATTCGTTCTGGTATTCAATCTTGAAAAAATTCTTTGTCATTTGATGGAAACTTCCAATCTTTAAAAAAGTGCGAAATTTACTATCCTTCTCTACAAAATGGAAAATCGCAATTTTTGAGTAAGCCATAACTTGAATAAATAACTCATCCCTTAATAAGATCTTTAATCAATATTAGTGCAAGCAGTACACAACATTCTCTTGGGGGGGGGGCGAAATGTGCGATAGACTTACCTCCACGTGGTGCACCCTGGGCAACGTATACTCATAAGGCATAAAGTCTATTATTCGGCAGGTGACTTCTGACTTCAAACAACCATGACCCCACTATATGTCATATTCCACCTCTTTCACAGTACTCACCTCACCTTTGTTCTATCTTTGTGTTTGTCCCTTTTACATTTTCGAAACACTCTTCTGTCCCCCCTCTCGATTTTTTTCACTTTGATGTTCCTTCCCCTCTGTGAGGCCTGAAGTCAACTAAGGAACTAATGATAACTATCAAAACGCCTGCCCTTTGATATAAATA